TGTTACACAGCACAAAACGAATAAAAAGGATTTGTATCGCAATGAGAAAAATCCAATAATAACTCACTGTTGCTCTTCTCCTTTCGAAATATTCCAACGGTCTATTGTATGGTTTACAGATAACCACTGTTACAACAAAATCGTTCACTACTTTTTGCCTATATCCTTCACTTCGACTATGCCTCAATTCCTGAAATTTGCGAAAGAGTACTTCGCTGCAAATTACTAGGCATGTAAAAATTGTGCCACAAGGGGAGAGAGAAGGGGGAACGGGGAGGGAGGAGGGAGGAAATCAATCATTCAAGAATTTTGGGGGATAAGAGGCGCTAAACGAAAATTCCGATTGATTTCGCAAGTAAAGAAATGTTATTTTTCATATTCAGCCACATTACATTTAAGATAATGATAAACTTACGTTTTCGTTAAAATCACCATACTTGAGCACACTATTACCATAGCACATAGTTTGCTGGATGTACTTCCTCTTTCTCACGTCCTGCTGACGCACACTGCAGAATTTTGTTATTTACGTGCTAAATCACTGCGTAATAAAAGACAATCCAGCTAATAAAAGACAATCCGAACGACTAAAGACAATCCGACTAATAAAAACCAATCCAAAAGATAATCAAATTAAGTTGTGAAAATCACGGTTTTCGAGACTAGCTACCAATCCGATATCAGCACCGTCACTGGAATATCTATTTTATATTGTTTTTAACTGCATGTGAGAGAGTTTATAACTTATCGCGTTAAAAAGTATTACACTACGTAAACACACACACACACCTACAAATGTACATGCACACACGCACACGCACGCACCTATAAATATGCGTGCACACACACAGATACACACACATAGTTACATGCATGACAAGCCTACACAAACCCAGATTTTCCTTTACCATCAGATATTAAACGTGACAGCTGTTGCCGCCAAATTTTTTTCCTACTGGTGATGCGAAACAAATTTAAGAATATTTTTGAAAATCATAAATAATCTAATATGAACAAGCACCCATTTTCATACTACTACTACTACTAACTCTATGAAATGACAGTTGATAAAATAATGATTATGAAAATAGAAATAATGATTATGAAAATATACTGAGGATCGTGGTGCATTTTCAACGGTTTCTTCTTGATCGGATTGAACATTTCCAGTACTTTCCTTTTCAGTCTGAAAACACGCATTAAACAAAGACGTCAAAGTAAAGCCAATTAGCCTATAAGACAAAGAGTGGGATTTTAAGAAAAAAAAAAAATCAGTGAAAATTGATTACTTCAGTGTCTGCAATTCGGTATCGGCTGGTATATCTTCACGATCCACTTTTTTGCGGAAAAATATATCGCGCTTGTTGAGCAGAGCCAAATGACTAACGCTGCAAACTTTTTAATATGAATGCATCGATTACGCTACACAACGGTTGGACAAAAATGTGTTGGAATTGAAATACGAGTAATTACATGAATGCATACGTACAATACGCATGTACACATACATACATACATACATGCATACATACATACATACATAGATACATAGATACATACATACATACATAAATACATACATATATACACACATACATACCTATATACATATATACATACATATATACATATATACATACATATATACATACACATATACATACATATATACATACACATATACATACATATATACATACATATATACATACATATATACATACATATATACATACGTATATACATACATATACACATACGTATATACATACATACATACATACACACATACATACATACATACATACATACATACATAAACAAACCTCACCTTAATGAGTACTCATTTGCAAAAACACGCAAATGCAGAAGAAACTCACAATCAAAAAAGAAACAACAGACTTGGAAAAAAACTCACTTTAAGCTGGTGATAATCTTTTGCGCATCCTCCTCCTGTATCCCGAATGTTTCCTTTAGTTTCTCGGACATCGCGGCACTGTCATCCAGAACCTCGGCTTCCGGCATCGCTCGTTTATGAATATAGGCTGGAGGTGGTGGCAGATCCTCGGCGCTGCTCGCCTCACACAGCTGCTCCAAATTTACCGCTGCACGCATACGATCGCGCTGTTTTAGAGCTACCTGCAATCCCAATTCGAAAGTTATTGGATCGATCTGCCTTTACTGCTGGGCAATATGTACTTCTGAAGTTGTATTTATAATGTTACTTACGCCTAACAAAAATTTATGTACTTAATATACTGCAAATATCAACTAATTTCAGGCTCAAGTAGTTTTTATGCGTTTTGTGCTGTGTAACAGCGTTGTCTGTGTGTGTGTGTTTGTATGTGTGTCTCACATTTTGTTCCGCATTTTCGACTCGGGAACCACAAAAGCTAGGCGGCTGAAATTTTGGTAAAGTGTTCCCCGACAACGGGTGACGCGGCAAATTTAAAATCAGCCTTCCCGTACTCGCGGGCAAAACGTACGGCCCGGTGAAAGTTTTTTACGGGTAAATTAATATCTCTGGAACCATGGAGTCTGGAAGGCTGAAAATTTAGGGTAATAACTCCCTACCCACGCTCACCTTGCCTGTTCAAATTCAGCCTTCCCTTGCTATTGAGTATCACCTACGGCGTCGTGAAAATTTTGGCGGTTAAACTATTAAACTCGGAATCACAGAAAGATATTTGCCCTTCAAGGTTTCGAATTGAGCTTTCATGTGCTGGTGCGTGGAATTTTTAATTATTTTACAATGTTTGAACTATTTTTGTATAGATTAAAGCACAAAGCAGTGAAAATCATTAATAGGCAATCGTTCGATGGGCTGAATTGCACAGAACGCATGATCG